GGGTGGCATCGTTGTGGCACTGCAGGAGGCCCAGGATGGACATGTCGTCTGAGGAATGGGAGGGGGAGTTGAAATGGTTCGCGACTGGGAGGTGCAGTTGTTTGTTGCGAACCGAGCGTAGGTGTTCTGCAAAGCGGTCCCCGAGTCTCCGCTTGGTTTCCCCGATGTAGAGGAAGCCACACCGGGTACAGCAGATGCAGTATACCACATTGGCAGATGTGCAGGTGAACATCTGCTTGATGTGGAAAGTCTTCTTGGGGCCTGGGATGGGGGTGAGGGAGGAGGTATGGGGGCAGGTGTAGCACTTCCTGCGGTTGCAGGGAAAAGTGCCGGGTGTGGTGGAGCTGGAGGGGAGTGTGGAGCGGACAAGGGAGTCGCGGAGAGAGTTGTCCCTCCGGAAAGCAGATAAGGGTGGGGAGGGAAAGATGTCTTTGGTGGTGGGGTCGGATTGCAGATGGCGGAAGTGTCGGAGGATGATGCGTTGGATCCGGAGGTTGGTGGGGTGGTACGTGAGGACGAGGGGGATTCTTTTTTGGTTTTTATTGCGGGGACGGGGTGTGAGGGATGAGGTGCAGGAGATGTGGGAGACACGGTTGAGGGCGTTCTCGACCACCGAGGGGAAGTTACGGTCCTTGAAAAACGAGGACAACTGAGATGTATGGGAGTGGAATGCCTCATCCTGGGAGCAGATGCGGCGGAGGCGAAGGAATTGGGAATAGGGGATAGCATTTTTGCAGGAAGGTGGGTGGGAGGAGGAGTATTCTAGGTAGCTGTGGGAGTCGGTGGGCTTGAAATGAATATCGGTTTCTAGGTTGTTGCCCGATATGGAGACAGAGAGGTCCAGGAAGGGGAGAGAGGTGTTAGAGATGGTCCAGGTAAACTTAAGGTTGGGGTGGAAGGTGTTAGTGAAGTGTATGAACTGTTCGAGCTCCTCGTGGGAGCACGAGGCGGCGCCGATACAGTCATCAATGTAACGGAGGAAGAGGTGGGGTTTAGGGCCGGTGTAGGTACGGAAGAGGGATTGTTCCACGTAACCTACAAAGAGGCAGGCGTAGCTTGGGCCCATGCGGGTACCCATGGCTACCCCCTTGGTCTGTAGGAAGTGGGAGGAATTGAAAGAGAAGTTGTTGAGTGTGAGGATGAGTTCGGCTAAGCGGATGAGGGTATCAGTGGAGGGGGACTGGTCGGGCCTGCGGGACAGGAAGAAGCGGAGGGCCTTGAGGCCATCTGCATGGGGAATGCAGGTGTAGAGGGACTGGACATCCATGGTAAAGATGAGGTGTTGGGGACCGGGGAATTGGAAGTTCTGGAGGAGGTGGAGGGCGTGGGTTGTGTCACGGACATAGGTAGGGAGTTCCTGGGCCAAGGGGGAGAAAATGGAGTCTAGATAGTTGGAGATCAGTTCGGTGGGGCAGGAGCAGGCGGAGACAATGGGTCGACCAGGGCATTCAGGTTTGTGGATTTTGGGAAGGAGATAGAAGCGGGCAGTGCGAGGTTGGGGAACGATGAGGTTGGAGGCCGTGGGTGGGAGGTCACCTGAGGTGATGAGGTTGTGGATGGTTTGCGAGATGATGGTTTGGTGCTCAGGGGTGGGGTCATGATCAAGGGGGCGGTAGGAGGAGGTGTCGGAGAGTTGGCGTCCGGCCTCGGCGATGTAGAGGTCAGTGCGCCATACTACAACTGCGCCTCCCTTGTCCGCGGGTTTTATGGTGAAGTTGGGATTGGAGCGGAGGGCTGCACGTTCTGCGGGGGAGAGGTTGGAGTGGGTGAGAGGGGTGGAGAGGTTGAGGCAATTGATGTCTCGACGGCAGTTGGCGATGAAGAGGTCGAGGGAGGGTAGGAGGCCTTGGCGTGGTGTCCAGGAGGAGGGGGTGTGTTGGAAGCGGGAGAAGGGGTCAGTAGAGGGAGGGTTAGGTTCACGCTTAAAGAAGTAAGCGTGGAGGCGGAGGCGGCGGAAAAACTGCTCTATGTCCAAGCGTGAGCGGTATTCGTTGATCTGTGGGTGGAGGGGGACAAAGGTGAGCCCTTTACTGAGGACTGACCGTTCGTCCTCAGTAAGGGGTAGGTCTGGGGGGATGGTGAATGGGACTTGAGAGTTAGATCTGCGCTAAAGAGATTTGGATGAGCTCAACTTATGCATTATTCAAGCCCACAGGCAAGAATGGCAAGATAAAGGATTCAGATGGTATGAAGCAGAGCTGGGTGGTGAAGCCTCAGATGCTTGTTTTGAGGATCAATTATGAATTCACTTGCAGATAGTTTTATTTAGTTCTAAGGCAGTTGCCAGCAGAATACAGAGTCAGTGGATAAGGAATACAGTTATAGCAAAGATCAAAGACAATGGCTTAGTCTTCAGGCACAGCTTAAATTTGATTGCTTGGTTTGTACTGAATTAGCTGGTAGTCAATAGTGAAAAAATAGATTTCCTTCAGATGACTAGCCAATCATGCTGGCTAGCAGTAGCGTTGTGTTTTGCAGTATTGTTTTCTTGGGTGCCTTCCCCCACCAACAACTCCCACATATCCTTCCCTCTCAATTCAAAACAATAGATTTAGGCTATTTAGATTTAGATTAATTATTGGACGTCAATCTTCACTTGCAGGATGCTAACTCAGCAGCGTGAACACTCTAAGGGAAGAAAATCTAAGAAAGACTTGACAATATCCGAACAGAGACAGAATAAAAGCATTTCCATGCTCTGCAAACTAACAGAGCTGTGAATTTCCCCGCACTGCCACCTAACCCGCATTACCCCTCCATTATTGAGCACAATCATGACAGCAATTCTGCATTGTAAATCAAAGACAATGTTTACATTATAAAAACAAAAATGCAAAAGAAACAAACACAGGCACACAACATTTAAGCCTGTTGACAAGTGAACTATCCATCCAATATTAACTTACCTCCATGTTCTGCATATTTTGGATTGCTCAGAATTTGTTTGCAGAACTTCAACCCATGTCTGTATTGCTTGTGTTCGTAGCATTTCTGTGATGAGAGGGGGGAGAAATGATGACAATCATTTACATTCAGTTTAACACCCATTAACCCAAAATTCTATTCAGAATCAGATCAGATAAATTTTTGGCCATTTTGCACTTGAGTTTTGATGGTCTGAGGGCTTTTTTTAAAATAAACTCTAAATTACACGCAACATACTGAAACTGATAATACAGACTGCGTGCAAAGTAGCTGCTTTCTAGGACTTTGCAGAGTATTTTAGTGAGAGATCTCAAATACCATGCAAATTGCAAAATCATAAAATTCTGTCACAAAAATTGTGAAAAGTATCTGCAGACACTTTGAAAATAGGATATACCAATGATGAAAAATGCAACCACGACTCTTTTTGCATATTATTCTGAAGAAAGGAAATTTCAACTACGGCTGGAATATTGATATAAATCTGTGACAAATGGGTATTTGACCCAAAATACAGTGAACAAATTGTGCGTGTTATGGTTCAGGGGGAGTTCTGAAGAAACTAGCTGAGCCATGATCCTAAGGTCTTGTATGCATGTTACTATGGTTTTCTATTCACTCAGGCTTAAAGTGAAATGCATCTTCTGAATCTTTACTAACAAAGTTTAAATCACAAAAGTGAGGAATATCAATGCTGTGGAATGAAACAGTTTGAATCGGAGTATTGTCGACTCTGGTGCCATTTCAAATGCAAGCAAAACTTCCCCCAATTTGCCCTGAATCAAATAAGAATTTTGATAACTTAAAACATGTGCCACTGACGTCACAATCAGTTATGTCAACACCATGTTACCTCCTGAACATCTGTAAAATCTTTCAGTTTAGCTTGGTTGCAGCACTTTGTATCCTTTCTGCAATCTTAACCACTACTTTCCTGCTCCTATTTCTTATGACCTTATTATTTAAGGGTGAGATAGATTCTTGATCAGTACGGCAAATCAAGGATTACGGAGAAAGTAAACTTGAGGAATGTAGTTGGATCAGCCATGATCCTATTGAATGGCAGAGCAGGCTTAAGGTGTCAAATGGCCCACTCCTGTTCCTATTTGTTATGGTCTTATCAATACTTCCAATAGATATCTGCCTCAAAAGTGACCCTTCTCCCTTTCTCAGCATCAGTTACATTTCCTCAGTTTTTCCCTCACACATCTACATTTATCAGAAATATGTGAACAGCTTTATCCTTTTATGCAGCAACACAGATTGTCCCTCAAAGGAATCAGCAAAGAGCAACTCTATGCATACACAACACCAAACCATATCTCTTCCACTGCCACCACCAAAGGCAAGGCACTTTTGATAACACTTTTTGATATAAAAGCTGCATAAATGAGTTTATTTTATAGCTAAATCTAAAACGGAAGGCATGCGGTTCAGTTTTCCATCTGTCTCTCACTGGCTCTAATTGGAACCAAAGAATGCTAAGAAAAGAACTGATGGCCAACTTAAAATACTGGGAAAACCCTCTCCAAACAATGAAGGTAATCAAGCAAGCTTCAGATCATCATGACTGATGGCGCTAATTTCCCAAATATAGAATTGATATGTACCATTTACAAGACACAACTGTCCAAACTTGGCAGAAACTATTTCTGAAATTACATACAATGCTCATAATTTACACACTTAAAAATATTTTTTGCTATAGCAGGACTTTTTTTTGCAATAATTGATGTTCATCTCTCATATCTATCACTGCACAGTTAAAACTTTGCTCAAATTTCACAACACAAGTATAACATCCTAGTTCCTTCCTTCCAGATACATGATCTGAGACATAATATCAGCATATGGTATAGGAAATCAATCCAGATTTGTATCATTGAAAATTTAGTCAGTCTTTAGGGCACAAGAGTCCTTCTGAGTCCATGCCAGTTTTCTGTAGAGCAATTCTGCTAGTCCTATTCCATCAACTATCCCCTTAGTTCTTTAAAATTATTCATTGTTTTCACATCTACCGTAAACAATAAATTCAAGATCATTACCATTTGCCATGTAAAAAGGTACTTCCTCTCAACCTTTCTAGATCTCCTGTCCAAATGCTTAAAATTTGTCACCCCAATCCTTGTAACATTAATTTCTGAGAGCAGTCATCCCTGCATCCTCACTCAGCCAGCCCTGCTACTCCATTCCTCCAGCCATCAGCGGGTTAGGAGCAACAATATGCATGCAATTCCCTGCAAGTACAGCAGAACTCCCGGTCTCCACTTGTCTTAGTTATTTCTAATACAAACACTGCTTCACCAGGGCCATGTGACTGTTCAGCATGTATTTGCCATCTCATGTAAAAGAACTCACACACGTCTTCTAGCCCCTCAAAACGCTGTTCAGAACCTTGAACATCAGTACTCAAACAGACAGCCCTAGCAGCAACAGACATGAATATCACACTGTCAACTAGCAGAGTCAAGCCCGCCAAAGTGCAAGTACCCAAGAAACTACCTACTGGGATCTAAAAAGTGTTTAATTTTCTTTATACATTAACAAGATAAGAGCGTCACTAGCTAGGAGGCATTTATTGCCCATCCCTAATTGTCCAGAGGACAGTTGAGAGTCAACCACATTGCTGTGGGTCTGGAGCCACATGTAGGCCAGACCAGGTAAGGTCGGCAGTTTCTTTCCCTAAAGGACATTAATGAACCAGATGGGTTTTTCTGACAATTGACAATGGATTCATAGTCATCATAGACTCTTAATTCCAGATATTTTATGGAATTCAAATTCCACCATCGACCGTGGCAGGATTCGAACCCAGGTCCTCAGAATGTTATGGATGAATAGTCCAGCAATAATACCACCAGGCCATCACCTCCCCGTAAAGGGTTGTCATCAAGGGAAGAGAGAAGGAGTACTTAATGGAAGAAGCACTAAAAAAATCTCTTCAGCTGAGACTCATTCCACAACATGAATGCACTCAACATTGCTCAGCATGTTTACCCATTACCATGACAGCACAATCTCAGACAGACAAGGTTGAAAAGACCATCCTACAAGAATCAACAAGGGCACCTCTGCAGACAGAATGCTGAAATGCTAAAATATGGTACACAGACTCAACTCAAAGGAAGCAGAGAGCATGCTGGAGATCTCGAGGAGCTGTAATTATCATCAACTTCAAAAAAGGAATTAAGATCAATTCCAGTAATGATAGGAGTATCCTTGCTGCAGGCCCATTTGGATGCCAAGCACCAACAGCTGAAGGTGCACACAAACAGGTGAGCATCTCACCTACTAGTCGCCCCAAACACTACCAGGGTATGTCGATCCAGTAGTGGACCTTTTTGTCACCTCAGGAACTCTCAACACTGGAAGGCATCTTTGATCCCAAGGAACTGTCTTTCTTTGACTATTTTAATTAAATTTTTCATAATCTTCTAACTCCTATTAAAACTCGTCTCAAACTCCTTTGCTCGAGGGATAGCAATCACTGATCTAACCTTGTAGTCAAAATCCCTTGGGCCTGGAACCATTCAGACAAATCTCTTCTGCACCCTCAAATACCTCTTCGGCATGGTAGTCAGAACTGGATGTAATAACCTTAGTTATAGTTTAACCAAAGCTTTATAAAGGCTCAACATAATCTTCCTGCTTTTGTATTCGATACTACAATTTATGAAGCCCAAGATCCCATCTGCTTTGCTAACCATTCTTTCAGGATGTTGCCATTTTTGAAGATCCAAGCATGTGAAAACAAGCAGTTCCTCTAGATAAATATTTAGGATCAGATGGCTGAATCTATGCTTGTTAAAAGCACAACTTCAAGTGAACCACGTTAAGAAAATCAGAACTTTCCGTAAGAACTAATGTATAGCAAACTGGAGTCAGGGTCTTTTGGGCATTCTTCATCAGGAAAAGCAACACTAAGTTGCCATATACACCTAAATGAAACAACCATTAAATTAAGATACATCTCTATATATGATGTAAATTTAGACCATAAGTTGGACATCCGTCGATCAGTGACTCCCTACAATGTCCCCTACTGTATCAACGAAGCTATAATGAAACATGTTGACTAAATCAACATTAACTAAGGAATGCCTGCATCCATGAATACCAAGACTATTTCCTCTATGTACTTAAATCATCCAGACCTACAGGAAATAGATTTGGCCCGAGAACTAAGCACTATGAAAAGCGATTATATACTTTCAAATACAGTGAAAAACTGCTCTCAATTTTTAGTTTCCTTCCATCTAAATAATATTGAATTCGTAAGAACTAGGAGCAGAAGTAGACAATTCAGCCCCTTAAGCTCGTCCAACATTTAATATGATCGTGGCTCATTTCATCTCTGCCTAACTTCATTTTTCTGCCTAGTCCCATAAACGTTTAAACCATTACTAATTCAAAACCTGCCAATTTAGGGCAGCACAGTGGCTCAGTGGTTAGCACTGCTGCCTCTCAGCGCCAGAGACCTGGGTCCAATTCCAGCTTCAGGCAATTGTCTGTGTGGAGTTTGCACATTCTCCCTGTATTTGTGTGGGTTTCCCTTGGATGCTCGGTTTCCTCCCACAGTCCAAAGACATGCAGATTAAGTGGACTGGCAGTGTTAAATGGTCTCAGTGTCCAGGGATGTGCAGGCTACATAGATTAGCCACGGGACAGGCAGGGTTGGGGGATGGGTCTGGGTGGGATGCCCTTCAGAGGATCATGTGGACTCGATGGGGTGCATGGCCTGATTCCACACTGCAGGGATTCTATGAATCTCCCCATCTAATTTATTCAGTTCCTTTGCGTTGACTGCACTCTGATGCAGTGCACTCCACTGATTCATGATCCTAAGAGAAATAATTCCTCCTCCACCGGTTTTAAATCTGTCAGCATTACAGCCTAAGACTGACCTCTTGTCCTAGACTGCCCCACAAGGAGGTTCATCTGCTCTCAGTCAATGTTTATTCAGTTTTCATCTTCCATCTATAACAATATTTTCTCAGTCTCCATTGTAGCAACTCAAAGATTTTCCTCAACCTCGTGTAACCATCTACAACAACGGACATCTCCTT